GACAGTTTGGAGCAACTGCAACAGCTGATTGACAAGTGCATGCATGGCTCTGGCATACAAAACTTTTAGACTACTGGTAATCTTTGCAATTTTGGAAACCAATTTGAAATAAATTGGATTAATTGACTTCATTTTATACCGATATTACCTTGACGTTCATGATGAGTTGAGTGAATCAATTCTTCTCTGAGTCGTTTAGAAGGCTGATCAGCTGCAACAAAGGGGGTTGGCCTCTTATCACTGATTGGAAAAATTGTTCCACTTTCTGATAAACCTAGAGAGGCAACAAAAAAATGCTTCATCACAAATTATTTTCTAATCATTTCCTAAGCCTGAGGATAGGGACTAAATCTATTTTTTTAGTTTTAATTGCTACCATGTGATTATATATTTAAGACTGCACTTTTGCTATTATGTCTAATTCTTTTTTTCTTCACCAAAGAAATCAAGACACCACATGAACTAAATTAATGTTTTAAAAAGTTATAGGAGACTAGCCTACCAAATGTGAGTTCATACATCCTGTTTACAAGTCTTCTACAAGCTTCATTCCAGCTGTACTCCTTCATGTACTTTTTACGAAGAGACCTTGACTCTGAAAGTCGCACTTCCCTCACTTTCTGACGTACACGCTTGATTTCCCTGGCCCAGTCTTTGGGATCTTCAGAGTCTACCACACACTGGGAGCCTAATGAAACTTTCTTTAAAGCTTCCCCAAGTCCTGAATTACTACTGACAAGTATGGGTAGACCAGCAGATAGGGCTTCTAAAGCTGTTATTCCAAAACCATCAGTCCTAGAGGGCATTATTGCAAGATCAGCTTCACAAAATAAGTTGGCTAGCACTTCTCTGCTATCATTAAAGCTGTGAACAAGTAGCTGATTACGACTAACGCCATAGTGGAGCAGCTTTTCTGCGGTTTGATCTCCTTTTCCTCCAGGTGCACAAACAAACCTGAGTTTGTAGGATTCATCTTTCAACTCAGCAATTGCTTTAGCAGCTATATCGTACCCCTTGACTGTGAAATCTTCACAGCTGTCACCACTTCCAATTACAAGAACATAGAAAGTCTGTCTTTCTTCTGTGGCTTGTTCTTTTTCCAAAAATTCAGAGAAAATGCTTGGAGTAAGGTCAAAAACATTTTCCCCTTGTTTACTGGGACGGAGGTAACGCTTGTAAGCTTCTGCTAGCTTGGGTCCAATTGTGACGACTTGATCAGCCATCTTACAAAGCTGGATTTCTGTTTCCTGCTTTTTTTGACCCTCTGAAATGTTTCTGTACATTCCATCTTCTTCAGGAGCAGAGTGAACAACTTGAATCCATTTGCAGTGACAGTAATTTGGATTTCTCTTGATGCC